GCACAAAGCTACACAATGGGCTATGTGTGCTCTGGCCAACACAGGTATCGAACCCCGGATTGTAGCATTGTAAGTCCGCAGACATACCACTGTGCCACTGGGGGGCTATATCCATCGAAATTGTTTTCATTTTATTATTTCTGTTATAAACATTTCTTGGATCGCTTTCTAAAAATTAGTAAAAATGAACTTTTTTCGATGTCAAAACTCATCGTAATGAGGCAACTGCCTGTGACTATATTCTTCACGTAATCACGTGACAAAGGAGTTGTTCTCATAACAGTTTTAAATGGATCGTCCTCATTATTGTAAAAACAAAAAACAATATTCTGAAGAACAATGAAGATCAGGTTAAGAAAGTAAAAAAATAATAATAATAACCTTGAATTCTCATCAAAATTATAACATATCCTTTATGTTGCTAAATTCATCAACAGCTAAAAGTAAAATACGATTTGATAATCCTTGCCGTACTTTATACTTGTTTCCATAACAAAATTATTAATTATTTAATTTTCCATTTTCAGACTTCCTCCACCGACCCTTCCACCTGCGCGCCTCCTCCCGGAAGTGGCCGGAGATAGCGTCGCCATTGCTCTTGTTGGTTTTGCAGCTTCTCTTTCCCTTGCTGCTATGTATGCGAAACGCCATAATATTTTTGGTTAAGCCTAGCTAGACCACTTCTGTTATTTGTAGTGAATGTAGATCCTGTTGTTGATTTGTCTAGCAAACTCTGACAAAGTTGACTAATCAAGTGTGTGATTAAACTTTCCAACAAACCTGATTAGCATCTATTTTATAGGGCTTATTCATCAGGAAAACATTCCAATTCTCTTGTTGTTATTCTCATTATAGTCGGAGCTCAAGCAACCAAATTAGATTAATGTGAATCTGCATAACGTTGGGTTATTTCAATTTTATTATCGTTTTTCTAAACATCTTTTTTATGTGCTAATAACATAAACACATTCAAGATACTCTAGCGTGACCATGCTTTAAATCAGACCTTTCTACTCTATTTTAATAGTTATTTATTTGTAAAATTAAAACATTATAACGAATAGATATTTCTTATTAAGCTTCAACCATTAAAACCGAAATCATAAAATTACGATGTCTACGTTAACTGTGTTATTTATTTATTTATTCAACCATTATGTATTTCATTAATTATTTTTCTTTCTTTTTTTTTTAACTGAGAGATTTCATTGTTCGCTAGGAACTGCTGGCAATCGGAGCAGGAAATATTCTTGGTGGTTTCTTTTTATGTATCCCTTCCGCTGGTGCACTAGCCCGTAGTGCAGTGATGGACAGTATTGGTGCAAGGACTCAGGTAAAGTAAACAGACGATTTTATTTTAATCAAACACGGGTTAGTACTTTCTCCACTAGAAGGCGCTAGTCACTGACACGTATATTATATTGTTCCGCCAGAGGGCGCTAACCACTTCCATGGTGAGTATCTGATAGGCTTTTATTAATTTATTTATTTATTAAAGTTCATACAGACTACTATTTTAGAGAAGAAAAATGTAAATCGGTAGTGAATCACTAAAAGAAGGCTTAATTTGTCTCGTGTTCCACAACCTGTTTGAATACTCAATCACTTCGTCCCTGTTGTGCTAAAGTTATGTATGTGTTATCTATCTGATAACCATGCTGAAGGTTAACATAAGCCAGGAAGAAAACACTATATATTACTTATACATAATAATGTACAATCATTACGGAGTCTTTCATCCCTCTTGTTATATTTTATAATGTCATTCGTTATTATTCAGCGTCCCCAGTGGCACAGTGGGAAGTCTGTAGGCTTTTAACGCTAAAACCCGGGTTTCGATACCCATGGTGGACAGAGCACAGATAGCCCATTGTACAGCTTTCTTCTTAATAATAAATAAATATTACTCAGGTTTATTTTATAAATGTTATTACAAAACTATTTTTTAAATTGAAAAAAAAATGTTTATTTTTAGAGCAAAGCCACATTGGGCTATCTCCTGTGTCTACCGCGAGGAATCGATCTCTGGATTTTAGCGTTGCAAGTCCGTAGACTTACCACTGTCCCACCCGTGGCCAGGAAAAACTGAACGTTAAGAAATTATAGTCACAACGAATTTGTTGATTCCCAGTACCGGCCTCTATTTTAGTTTTGTACATTGCTCACAAAAAGAACATACCTGTAAATATTAGTTTTGTACATGGCTGACAAAAAGAACATACCTGTAAATATTAGTTTTGTACATGGCTCACAAAAAGAACATACCTGTAAATATTAGTTTTGCACATGGCTGACAAAAAGAACATACTTGTAAATATTAGTTTTGTATATGGCTGACAAAAAGAACATACCTGTAAATATTAGTTTTGTACATGACTGACCAAATGAACATACCTGTAAATATTAGTTTTGTACACTTTTCAAGTCCATTGAAAATTAACTGTAAACATTTTTTGGCTTATGACACGTGAGAAAACATTGGAGATGCTTTTTCATTTTGTGGGCGTGAGGGAGAGCTCTGAATTCTATTTGTATTCGTAATCTCATGTAATTTTATTTACTTAAACAAATCCTAAGTATTGAATATGATAGAGAAAAAAGTATATATTGACCCTACGTCAAAAAGACATTATCAGATGAAAAGTTAAAAAGGCCTTGATGGATTACGATGGACAGATTTGTTGTTGCTTGAATTTTTCACGCTGTTTTTCTGAAATTACTTAGATGAGAAAACAATCACTTACTTTTTATTTTGTTTACAGCTGAACGGTTTGGTATCCTGTGTTGTTTTATTGATTGTTCTGCTGGTTTTGGCCCCTCTTCTACAGACTTTACCAACAGTAAGTATATATATGTATATTTAGCTTTCTTTGTCCTGTTATATAAAGTGGTTCTAACGAGTCTGGGGTATTTATAAATGTGTCTTGGAAGATGGATGAATGCTTTATTGTATAGCACTGAAACCTTGGAATTGGAACAAATATGAAATATCTACCAACATTTAACTAAAACCTCTATTATAAGAACAATATTCTTATTTCAAAATTACAATATCGGCAACTTTTACAGTCGACATGTTCTAATGTTAATTACTATAATGTTGTAATCATTAAATTTGATATTTAATCCACTAGATGGCGCTTCTCTCAGAACTTTTACAGTTGGCAAGTCCTAATTTTAATGGCTACAACACTGTAATCATAAATTTGATATGTTCTCTACTAGAAGACGCTGCTATCCGACATGAGAAGTATTTATAAATTAAACTTTTTTTTTCATTACAGTGTGTGTTAGCTGCCATCACCATAATTGCACTAAAGGATCTTCTGAAGCAGGTCACAGAGCTTAAACGTCTGGGACGCGTCTCAAAAGTTGATGCTGTAAGTTTACTTTCTCATCTCTAGAGCCTTGTTTAACAGTTGCGAGAGTTACTGTATTACATTCAGTATCGTTAGACTGAGAAGAAGATGTTTCTTCTTATTAAGTTTGTGTTTGGAAGATAACTTTTTAAGTAAACTTGTTGAAAAAATCTCGTTTACAAGAGGAATCTCGTTGCGTGGAAACTAGTAGAAATTCCTATGTATCTAAGTGTCATAATTACATTTCTAAACTTTAAATGTATGCAAGTACTTTTGCCTCTGAACTAAATTTAAAAAAGTATTCGAATTCACACTATAAACGTTTGATTACTGTTATAACAAGGCGACCTGAAACCAGTAGTGTAACAGAATTGGACTATGTGTTTAAAATGTTTAAATCAGTTTTGATTACAAATATAGGGAAGATCTATCGGGAACTACTTTTTAATATATGTAATAATGTAAGTATATGGGTGTGTTTGGCTAAGGATTCTTCTATAGTAGGGTCTGTGACCTGTTGGCGATAAATTCGACAATAAACGAACAGCACGCACTCCACTTGTTATTAAAATAATACAATGTATATATATTAGGAACATGTTAAACGTATGTACATAAATTCTTTACACTGTGGAAATCATATTTGTATCTTAAACACTATGCAGTTCTCTTCTTGTTGTCAAAAGTCCACTTAGACATATTCAGTTGACAACCCGAACTATTTTTCGATATTTTTATCGCAATAGTATCCGTATATAATTCACTTACGCTGTCGCGTGTGTTACTGCAGTTGTATCCTGAACTTCCAATAATCGTCTGCTCTTCGTTCTTCTTTTCGTCAAAGTCCACACAGGCAGGTTGAATTAGCTTAGAACACCCTTTGATAAGACAAATTATTCTCCTTATCTCTTCCAATCTGTTATTCTCACTCTAACTTATCAACCGTTAGGCCATTCACTCCCACAATGGTTACCTTTACGTTTTCTAACTTTTCTCTGACCAAACTTCTCTTTCACGCGATGTTTACTTTTACTCTGATTCCGCTCGTCTGGTCGCAGTTATTTATACGTCTGTCACTTAGGCCTTCTAAAAATCTCCATAGCCTTGACATCAATGAATTGGAAACACAATGCTCGATAGACTTGACATCAATGAATTACAAACACAAAATTAATCAACTAATAATACTACCTTTTATATCTGACAAGCTCATATAGGTCAAACAAGGAATACATCATTCATTGTTGCAGCTATTGTAATTACGTCAAGTGATTGTACGTAGACAGATGTATAGATTGTTTTTATACTTTATATTTATAGTGAGTTAGCTAAAATCTTAAGAGATTTTGAGGATCTCGGGGAAGATTTGAGGCAAACAATTCAAACTATTTCAATTCTTTATTTTAAAATTTTATTGAAGCAAATACATGCACACGGAATCATGGAAGCTCTTGATCATAACTTTGTACTTAAGCTTTCATCTCAATAAAAAGCAACATTATTCCCCAAATAGAAAAAATAAAATATTAATTTCATTAGATATAATTTTAAGTATGTAATTTTAAAAAAAATTCTGGAAAAGTAAAATCTTACCCTACACCTTATTTGTTTCTGGAGAAAAAGCAATCGCAAAGTTTGTAATTCAACCTTATTATCTATCTCTAGGAAGAATCCTTGCAAAAATTGCCTAAATCGACATTTCTTTGCCGAGCACAGTTCTTCAGGTCCCAAACTATTTTTTTTTCATTTGCACCTATATAAACAATAAAAAATAAGGCTTCCTTAATCTCTGCTATTACAGTGTCAAATTTGTCCTAAATAGCCCTATATAAACAATAAAAATTGTGTCTTCCTTAATTTCTTACATGGCAGTGTCAAATCTGTCCTAAACTGTCCTATATAAACAATAAATATTGAGTCTCTGGTATTACAGTGTCATATCTTTCCTAAACGGTACTAACATATTTGTACTTGGTAAGTAAATTTTAATCCTAGCTTTCATTCAGCTGCCCCCCCCCCAGTGTCTCAGCGATAAGTTTGAGAGCTTATAACTCTAAAAATCAGGTCTCAATACCTACAGTTGGCAGAGAACAGATAGTCCATTATGTAGCTTTGTGCTTAACAACAAACAAGCAAATTAATCAGCTCTTTGCCACAAATTTCGGTTTCCAGGTCGGGAATTATTTCGTAGGTATCCTTATAAAATTTCTATAGTTTTTTTTTGTTCCTCTAAAACCCCCACTAAAGCCTTAACAAAACGCCAATATACTCTGGGTTTAATATGATCATTATTTTTGTTAAGCTCGTATTGCAAGTGTTTTCCGAAATAGCTAGCTGAATGAGGACTTTGGTTTATTACTAACATTTTTTTTTTTCTCAACTAGTATTATAGAACTTGTATGCGAATTCGATGTTTACAATTACTCATTGGTGAAATATGATAAATTTTTGTGATCTGATCTTAGAATTGTCATGGCATACAGAGTTTTCTTTCTGTAACTAGAGTCTTGTTTTGTGTGTGTATGTGTGAATATATGAACTACTCAACGACGGTATTGGAAATCCTGAACTGTTGATCGAATGAGAAATTTATTGAGAAATATCTGTTGTTTATTTTTTTCAAACAAGTAGAAACAACATGTTTGGAGTGTTGGACTGTTTAGGCCTTCTCTATGCCTGAAAACTGTTTGATATCTGAAATCTCCGAAGATCAGCTTGGCCGTTTAACGTCGCACAGTATACATTTTGACTAGACACATTTTATATTTATTATCTTTACATTTATAAGTAATGACCCAATAAATTTCTGCCTTATGTTCTTAGAAAAAGCTGCCATCTAGTTATCCTGACAGGAAACGTAAGACTTTGATCGGAATTGGTTTCCTCTCTATATGATAAAATAAATAGTTGGCCCGGCAAGGCCAGGTGGTTAGGGCGCTCGACTCGCAGTTTGTGGGTCGCGGGTTCGAATCCCCGTCTCACCGAACATGCTCGCTCTTTCAGCCGTGGAGGCATTATAATGTGACGGTCAATCCCACTATTCGTTGGTAAAAGAGTTGGCGGTGGGTGGTGATGACTAGCTGCCTTCCCTCTAGTCTTACACTGCTAAATTAGGGACGGCTAGCGCAGATAGCCCTCGTGTAGCTTTGCGCGAAATTCCAAAAACAAACAAACAAACATAAAATGAATGTTTTTGAGGCACTGTTAGAAACAAAATACTAATCGTACAAATAATAATGAGTGGAGTGCCTTTTATTTTTATTTTTTAATTGGAACAAATAAATTTGTTTTTACAACAACAAAAAAAAACAATTAACGTGTCAAAGTCATTTGAATTTTTTGTTGTTATTGTATCAAACAAAACTAGAAATGAAATCCATGTCGTTACAGAACGATAGAAATTTTCTGATCTCATTTTCAATATAGTTTTTATAGTAGGCTATAGTAATTATGTAAACCTTCCTTCTATTTTTACAGTGTATTTGGTTCGTAACCTTTGCCTCCGTTGTTTTGCTTGACGTTACTTACGGACTGATCATCGGGGTTATTGTGTCCTTATTTAGCGTGGTGTGGAGAATGCAAAGGTAAACTCAACACTGTTAAACTTTAAAACAATTTCGTGGTTAAACAGAACAGTAAAGGCGGTTAAAATGACATGCGATTTATACATAGTTTTTCACTTAATATTTTGCTCATGTTGTTTGGTAAAATAAGACTTAATATTCATTCGGTTATATTTATTTTAAGCATTGTTATGAAATGCCTCTTCAGAAATGCTTATTATTAAAAATTATAATCATTATATCTTAAGCTGGTGGAGTTGAATTCCCTCCTTATTTTGAAAATTTACAACATAAAAGTCATCATTATTTACATAATTGTTAATATTTACTCAGTAGTATATTTAAATGTTATAAGCTTTATTTTTGTTTCCTTGCAGCCACCGTGGAACTACTCTACAAGAATTTGGTAGCTCTGGTGTTTATATTCCTGGTCCGAAAGTAAAATACTTGGTAAGTCTACACTGAAAGTAAAATATTTGGTAAACCTAAACCAAAAGTAAAATAATTGGTAAGTCTAAACAGAAAGTAACATACTTGGTAAGTCCCAACCAAAAGTAAAATACTGGCAAGTTTAAACTGAAAGTAAAATACATTATTAAGTCTAACCTCGCTGTATAGGAAAAGAACGCTCAGGAATGTTGATAAAACCTCTTTAAAATAGAACATGGGTTGCAAACCTATGGCAAACGTGTCTAGAGTCGCTCACGAGGATACTTCCTCTTTCATAATAAGACAAAAGTACTTCCAGTGTCCAAATACTTTGAATGAGGTGGCCTCTGTTACTAAATCAATAAACAGCAAAAATCACAATAAGATCAAAACCCATCACTGAATATGGTCGCCCTTTTATTTGGTTAATGCTTCTAGTTTAGAATACTTGTAGAAATACCCGCCCTCCGGGCAGGTATAACTGCTAGTTCCTGCGGAAGGTTATTAGGCCTGCGACTTTTTTTGGAATTGTCTGACAGTTCTACAACAATGTACTCGTACTTGACATTCAATAATGGACATCATCCATGAGAAAAAGGATTTTATTGAAAATATAGTTTAAAAATGAGCTATCATCACAGCATTACATTACAGAGTAGATTTTATTGAAGTATTTCTTTGTAGACGCAGTTATCAATGAAAGTTCCTTGCTTTTCTGGTGCAACACTTATGAGATTTTCAGTAAAGAAAAACATAACTTTTTAAGTTTATTTTTTGGTTGTTTTATATTTGAAACTTACTCCTTATTCTGTAATTTTTATTGATTAAATCTGAAACATCATTTTTGTGGAAGTTTCAATTGTTATGTTTGTTGCTCAGCTATAAAAATACTGCCTAGTTATGAAAATATTACCCAGTTATGATTGGTGATGATCGGTGAGGTAGTTCCGAGATCCGAGTTTTGGACGTATACATCTCAAGCTTCATTATAATAAGATTATGTAAACTAATCGTATTTAGCGTGCCACCTAGTGACTGAAAGTGGCAGCGTTTTCAACGAAGCAAAATAAAACACTCACACAACAATAACGTTTGTAGCGCTATCTTTTGTAGCTATTTACAAACATTCTGGATATATTTCAAGAAAATAAAACAATTATTGTAATTTAGTGCTTGCTAAATTTATTTATTATTAAAATATTAGAAAAAAATATTGTATTGTCAATACTTCTTAAACAACGCAACATTTTGCAATTCTGTGTTTATTTGGGAAGACATTTGAAATGCATGAGCAATTAATAAATTAAAATAGAAAATATAGAACAGGACATAACATCAAACTTCAAAAGTATACATTTCTCTCAGTCATGTGAATATGTTACGAAATGTAAAATTTTTCTCCTTGCAAAGATTGCTAATGAAACTGCTTTAGACACAGCTAACAATAGATTTTTAAATCTAAATAGTTTTGCACGTAAAACCGAGTTGTACAATTTTAGGATAACCAAATTTTTTATTAATAGTGAATAATGTATAGTGAAAATGATATGTAAGCTTAAGTCCTTTGTATTGGGGGAGGGGAAACGAAATGCGTGAACAAAAAAAAATATATGGTCGAGGAAGAGTAACATAAAATCTACTTGAATTTAAAAAAGAAACTGTTAAGTAAAGTATCGGATATGTTGATTTGGAAATTTAATATAATATTATTGAGTTAAGTCGTTAACAATACAACGTTTTAATGTGAATTTTTAGACTCCAGTCGATGAGAAGACAGGATGCGTTACGGTCTTTCATTTCGGAGTTCCTCTCTGCTTTGCAACAGCTAGTCGATTCCAAGGCGAAATAACCCGTATCATCCGACAGAGGTAGGGCTGAAAGGCTTTCATTTAGTACGAGCAAAAGTACCCGTCCCCAGTGACGGAAAAGTTTAAATTAATCTGTCAATTTAAATTATTTCATGGACTTTCAAAAGGTTAATTGTGTTACACTCTAGGTTTCACCCAGATCCAAAGTTCTGAGCTACGTATATCGCCCACCGCGGAAAGTAATTGATGAACATTTCAGTCATGCTAAGAGCTGCTCAACAATAACATACAGTAAATCTACATGTTTATTCTTTAAGTTACGTCACATTTTGAACTGTGAATGGTTAATTCCTGTGCGATTAATTCCTAACAATTTAGTGTAGAATATCCTGCTTGCTAAATAAAATTTGGCATCAACGTTATTCATGCTTGTTGTCCTGTCATTTCAAAAGTAAATGTTGAGCTTTACTTGCGTGCGCAGCTTTTCAAACGCAGTGCGGGAAGTGACTGCCATAAAGGGGACAGACGAATGTTCTAACAGACACCACGGTTCGCCATATATATATATATATATATAAGATACAGATCATGGTTGTATTTTGAAGATGAGATAAAAGATACTTTGTACAACTTCTCTAACGTTTCCCGATTTGGTAGTTAGATATGTGAGATGATGCATTTGGCCTGATGAGCCCTGGTATTGAGCAAAAGGCCTCGTCGGCACTGGATATGGCAGATATAATGTGGTTGACCTATTACTATACAATCTTCTTTACTTTCACTCAGAAGTTCTAATTAATAAACTAAACAAATGGTTCTCAAAATGTGGTATCTGGCCCACTGGTGGTCCGCAAGGGTCTTCCAGGTGGTTCGCGGATTGGTCCAAATTGCAAGTCACTGACGCGCAACGTCACGGCCGAGAGCATAAGAGAGAATAGAACAGGTGGGGTTGGACCGGTGGGTAGTATTAGGGGTCTTTTGCCCCGCTGAAATGGTTCGAGGACGAAAAAGTTTGAAAACAACTAATCTAAACAGATCTAATAAGTCTTTTTCACGATGCACGATAACTCAGTCATTCATTGGTAGAAATTAAACAGGTTCTTATTGTTAAAATACATAAGTACACTAAACCTCCAATATTTGTTATGTAATTCTAAGAACTTATGAGTGAAAGCAAAGAAGAATATGTTATAAAATCTCAACCACATATCTTTCTTTGATAGATTGTTTAGGCTACCATTGGTTGAATCTACAGGAAATCTCTCCTCCAATCAGAAACAGGGTAAACCAACCAATAATAACACGCTCTCCACAATCCACCAGAATACTATAAAGACCGACAACACCTTATATATATTCTTCTTCTTATATTTCATTTTTTCGCCCACTTGGCCCAATTAGAACGATGACCATTCTTTGAACTTTTAATCTTTAACCTCGTGCAGGGTGAAGGAGGATTGCTAATCTTTGAACATCCTTGGAGATTAATGGTTTTTCACTAAACTATTAATTAACTTTGCAACAAAATAACTGCCATAGACACACTGACCTGAAGACGAAAGGCGGAAGACTTTCGAAACGTCATCCTCTAAACTTGTGTTTCTACAACAGGCAGTTGCCGTCCATTCTACAAAGTTTCATCACATACCTTTCGTTCAAGCTAAAAGGTCTTATCAGTACTAGTTGTGTTGTTGTTAATTAAAAGTTTTACCCAAAATGAGATGTAAGCCAAAACGTTAATAAAATAAACAAGTTTTCTGAAGCTCAATATCTTTTTACCTCTAGAATGGTGTGTACGAAACTTTGCTTATATTAGCTCATACATTTTCACAATAGAAAGTATGGGGAAAGTTAGACAGTTTACTTGTCGATCTGTGGTGCCACCTGGTAGTTAAGATCGATGTCTTTCGCAAGGTGTTTGTTTATAATATAACGAGCGTATAGCCCGTCAAAAATGACTGGTCAAGTACTACCACCCCACTCCATATTATACCCTAACCTCACATTTCATAGTTAACTGAAATAAATAAATTTTGCGAAATCAAGCTTGACCAACAAAGAAGCAGAAAATTGCAGTTGAGGCAGTCAAACGTCGGTAAGTTCCTTTGTGAGCCAATCAAAACTAAGATCATTCATGAAATGAATTCGTGGAATATCCATAGAATAATTATTGGTAAAAATCAGTCAGATTAACAACTAATATATAGAAAAGCCAGTGCGTTTTCGTAACACTATGTTCCAACAATGTCTTTTATGTCATGTTGCTTAGTAACAAAAGTATAACCCAATATTGTTGTTAGTCTGTGTACTGAAAGAATAAATGAAATTTATAGATAACAAAACTGGAAACATATTTGTTGATTTCTTAATCTAGGGTCTCCTTAATTAAAGAGCTTTGTTTTTTTTATTAAAAACGTTGGAGATATAACAGAAAATAGCTTAATTCAGAAAAGATTTAAGTTTGAAATGAAATCGATATTTTTACATTCATGATAAATTTTATGCATCTGGCTCTAGGCTAAGTGATCCCACACTACGTCTTTACTTTAGGCTTATTATACCAACACTCACTACACTTATAAAGCTTCACGGCACCCCTCCCTCTTAAATAAAACATCATAAAATTTTACCCGTGCAAGCATAAATAATAGTGTATGTATCTGCTATATAGCGAGCCCCCCAGTGGTACAGCGGTATGTCTGCAGACTTACAACGCTAGAATCCGGGTTTCGATACCCGTGGTGGGCAGAGCACAGATAGCCCTTATGTAGCTTTGTGCTTAATTACAAACAAACAAACTGCTATATAGCGATAGTTTTTTTTCCAGCAAATTATTAAATTACTTTATTATTAAATTTTATTTTGAATCAAGTTTAGTGCCATAATTTATTAGTTCACTGTAATTTTTTAGAATAAACTCGTTCACTGTGCTAGGAAATCTTCTATTTTGAGAACATAATTATTTGCCGGCAGTAAAATGCACCGGTAGTCATTTATTACAGCAGTGAAATGTCGCGGCAGTCATATGACCGGCAGTAAAATGTCGTGATACCGATTGTTTGTAATTAAGCACAAGGCTACACATTGGGCTATCTGTGATCTGCCCACCACGGGTATCGAAACATGGATTCTAGCGTTGTAAGGCCGCAGACATACCGCTGTGCCACTGGGGGACGTGATACCGATCAAACGTTATTATGCTATTTATAGAATTTTCCATTAAAGTGCCTTCTAGTACTGTTATTATCAATGGAAATTGACTGGTCTGTGTGCGTTCCAATAGAAAAAAAAGTATACTTATAAGATCAGAAATGATCTATTTATATTCGAGCTTTAATTTAATTAAGGAAAACCTTAAATCTGTTTTTTTTTAAAGCGCCACAAACAATGATCCATTGTCTGTAATTTAGATACAAATATTTGTTATCGATTTTTTGTTTATTTCTTGACTTTCACTTCGAATGAGTTAAAATTATATTAAAGTGGAAGAATTTGAAACTAACTTACGCCTGGAGGTTCTTGACACTGATCTCGTTCTGGAATCAATGGTGTAATATAGTTGGGATTAAATCAACTTTGGCCTGAATCCATGCTAGACACTCGTCAAGTCTGTAATGAACTAGCAATTTTTTGGATCAAAACAGCCGCATCGTTTACACTTAAACTCGGATATTTTAGTGCTCACTGTTGTATTTATTTATAATAGGTAGTACAAAAAGTAGACTTAAGTATGGCACATTTATTGAAAGTTAATTTACCTTATCGTTGCCCTGGTGTGATCCAGTGGTTAGAGTGCTCGACCCGCAACCTGCGAATCACGAGATCGAAACCTTTTAATCCGTGAGGGCGTCATAATGTCAGTCTATCCCACTCTTCGTTGGTAAAGAGTACAAGAGTTGGCAGTGGGTGGTGTTGATTAGCTGCGTTTCCTCTATTCAATCGCTTCAAAACTGGAGGCGGCTAATGCTGATATCCCTCGAGTAGTTCTGCACGAAAGTCAATAAACAAACAAGAGACCACGCTGTTTTAAACCGTAGATTAATTAAGCAGCAGATCACTTAAAGAAATGAATCTTAGTTAAACAAAATTCCGTATATATGTGTGTGTGTAATTTCTATTGTTTTAATTACAAGTTATTGTTCTCGAGGAAGAAAATATGAATTCTTTGCGTAGTAAGTAGAATTATCACAAAGGTTGCTTTAAATTATTAGGCTTTCACCCGATGCAACAAAACCAAATGTCAACGACCCTACGAACTATGACCTGTACATTGTCCTGGATTGTTCTACTATCTGTTATATTGACGATACAGGCCTCACAGCCATGAGAGAGGTTAGTAAATGGGCTTTTGTTATTCTCTTATTCTGGGATCAATGGCTAAAACATAAACTATTAAGTTTAATGTGGGTGGGTGTGTTATGAATGTGGTAAGATTTTTTATGTTACTAGTTAATAATTTCTGGTGATAAAAATGGTGGTTCAGATATAGAATGAAAATGAAATTACTTGCTTCGTTTTTCATTAACAGTTTCTATTCTATATAGTTTGAAACACACATTTATCGACAGCTTTTTACTGTATTGGAGATGCTTCCTTATGGCTCAATGTATACTTAAAGGCTTATAACGCTAAAATTTAGGGTTTGGTCCCATTGTGCAGCTTTACGTTTAAAATAAACAAACAAACTGAACTGGGGTAATATTTGAAATAACTGTTGCTCGAGACGAGTTTATGAAAACTAAAATAAACGTTGGTGGTTTCGTTACATTTTGTTATAATAAATCTTACAGCTCTTCGTTTAATTTCTATATGGAGCTAAAATGCCCTCATTAATGTAAAGCTATAAAATGCCCTATTTATCGACATCGTGCATCGAAGAGCCGTCTGTGGAGAGAACTTTGATTAACTTGTTTTGTACGAATAGGTAAAGCAAGACGGCTGTCAAAAGTTCATCAATGTTAAATTCATATCATGGAACTCATTAAAATTACTTTGTGTTAAGTAAACAGGTGAGATCGGCTTTACCCTTTCAAGTCTGCTCTCTTTCTGGCCACTCTACCAGCTAAATGTTACTGTTGTAACAAACACTCCTTCTGGCCTCTCTACCAGCTAATTGTTATTCTTGTAACAAATATTCCTTCTGGCCTCTCTACCAGCTAATTGTTATTCTTGTAACAAATATTCCTTCTGGCCTCTCTAACAGCTAATTGTTATTCTTGTAACAAACATTCCTTCTGGCCTCTCTACCAGCTAATTGTTATTCTTGTAACAAACACTCCTTCTGGCCTCTCTAACAGCTAAATGTTATTGTTGTAACAAACATTTTTAAACTTCAGCTAGGTACATTGAAATGACACGCCAATTATATAACGAAATTTCCTAATGTTATGACTATATATATATTTTCGATAAACATTCATACCCTTTTTTTAACTTATTCACACACTTCTATACTAAAACGTTTGCGAAACCAAAAAACTAACTTTCACGGGTGAAGTATACATGAACACCTTCATTAAACATCATTTTGGACAACTGAAAACTAAAATTTAATATTCTGCAAAAACACAACACCTCAGAAAAAGTATGTACGAGAAGATGTCCCCCGATGGGCCAGTGGGAAGTTTACAGACTTGTAACGTTAAAATACGGGGTTCGATTCCACGAGGTGGACACAGCAGGATAGCGCACTGTGGCTTTCCTTTAAAAGAATCAAACAAAGCATGAGAAGGGCACAAAGTTATGATTTGTTTTATCAATATTCTGAGTTTGGAGGTTGAATAACATTGGTTTAAAGTATAAAATAAAATACAAATAAATAAGGAAACAGTATTCTCTTAAACATCTTCTAGATCAGCGGTTCTTAACCCAAAGGTCACGACCCAAAATTGAGTCTTCAGGATGTGTGAAAGGGGTCGCGAATAGATTTTGAAAATAGTTTGTTTGAAGTTAAGCACAAAGCTGCACAATGGGCTATCTGTGCTCTGCCCACCACGGGTATTGAAACCCGGTTTCTAACGTTGCAAGTCCGCAGACATACCACTGTGCCACTGATGGGGGGGGGGCTTTAAAAATAGATAAGGGGGCGAAGACCCACTATTTCGTAAAATGTATAGGTAATTTTGTCAGAGAAGTATTATTATATCTTAAGTTGCTTAGTAAACGTTTTATAATTTCACTATTTATAGGTTATTAACAAATCCAGAAAGGAGGGCGTTTGCTTGTACTTAGCCTCGCTACCAAGTAAGTTTGATGTGTATCTTTCGCCTGATTAGTTTTTATTATCTCTCACCTTGCACTGTTGATGAGAGTTCAGTGACTTACTTTCTGCCCACAATGTTGCATTAAGACAAATGATAAAAAGTCGTATGAGCTTTTTTTTCAAACTGTTTATAAACGTGAAAGTAAATGAAAGAGTAGATATATTTTCAATTTAATAAATGCGGAAAAAACAAAACTTGTCACTACTTTAGGGTTCTGTTAGTAACAAGACTTTGTTGTTCTACTAGTTGGTCGTCTTAAATACAATTTCTCCTATCCATCATTTAGTTGCCGTCAATGATATCCTGGAGATCTCGGGAGTTTTTGATCTTATAGGAAAAGAAAACGTTTTTCTCACAGTTCACGACGCGGTATTGAATGCTACCACCCGTGACCTAAAGCGTGACGTTAGCTTCGTAAGTAGACTCTCGAGTTACTATAGTCGTGAAGAATGCAGACATTTATTTCTGTTATCCTTTCGTTAGTTTCGTTGTTAACTCTTAAATAAAACTGAGTATATATATAAAAAAGAAACATTAACGAGTTTACTCATTATGGTTTATAATTCAGAAGATACAATAAATAATCAACTCATCTACAATATTTGAAACATGTAAAAGGTAGAAAATTGTAACTTTTGTACACATTTTGCTTTATTTTGAATTTCGTGCAAAGCTACACGAGGGCTATCTCCGCTAGCTGTACCTAATTTAGCAGTGGAAGACTAGAGGGAAGGCAGCTAGTCATCATCACACACCGCCAATTCTTGGACTACTCTTGGGATTGACCATCACATTATAACGCCCCCACGGCTGAAAGGGCGAGATGTTTGGTGGGACAGGGATTAGAACCCGCGACCCTCAGATTGCGAGTTAAACGCCCTAACCGCGAAGCCTTCTGCAACTGATGAGAATCTGTGATAAACAGCTGAAAACTGGGCAATCATTTCAACAAAGACATTTTTCTTGCTTTACCAGTTGCTCTCTTTCTGATCATATTTGAAATCAGAAATCTGAAAATAATCGACAGTGAAAGACATATATATATATTCGTTTACAAGTGCATTAGCATCAAATTTTTTAGAAACTTATAATCTACTCCTATTTCTCACTATCCCAGTAACAGTAACAAATGCTGAACGGTCATTTTCAAAACTGAAACTTATTAAAAACTACCTATGTAGTACTTGGGACAAAACAGAACTTGTAGATTGGGAATAGTACCAATTGAAAACTAGCAAACCGAGAAAGTAAACCTAGAGTAGATGATTGGCCAGTTGGCAGAACGAAGGTGTCTAAATTATAATTCAAATAAATCAGTATAAAACTTTCTTATATTATACGTAGTTGTATACTATATCATACGTTGTTGACATTATATGAATTAATTATTCAATACTTGACTTGGGAAGTTTGATTTGTATAAATATACAAGTGTTACATCATCAAAGTTTGGGAAAGAAGAGCATTCACTATTAAGTTTCGTACCGGAGTCCACTGCTCCAGACAGGTGTACTGTGAGACTTATATATAAACTAAAAATACATGTTCCACGAAACGAGAATACTATAATTGCTTGGACAACTTTAAACAACCGCTTAAAGCTGGGTTTGGAGCCCGGAGGAATCAAAACTAGATTGACTTAGGAAGAAAGAAGTCATCAACCATTTGTCACTGCCAACCTTAAAATCTAAAAGTCCATTATGTGACATAACACCACGTGCAACGCTCGCTGGTGTTGTCGACAAACAGTATTTGTGCTCCTGTTACAATAACACATTGCAATAACAATTTGGAGACGGCTTGACTGGGTAATGAAAAGGTTTATTGTAAATGTACGACGTTTCGACAATGTTATGTCATCCTCAGGTACATTTACAATAGTTTTTTCATTATCCAGTCAAGCCGTCTCTAAACTTTTTTCTAAAAAGTGGGTTTCTTGTCATCAAGTTCACATTGCAATAACGTTGGTTTGTTCCCTCCTGTGACCAAAGTAATAATCAGTCAAGCAAATCCAGAGTAAAGGCTATCCTGATAACTACAATGAACGCCGCCATTGACACGTATGTTATCTTAGCTGCCTGTTGGTCTTTGGGAACCAGACACAATGATCCCCTGCAGCTTGGGTGTCGTCATGCAGATTCCTTGAACGTAGGACACCAGGATATGAAGGAAGCTGTAATTAGTGATATAATAAGCCGCCATTCTAACTTCCCTCCTGACCTTGAAGGCATAACACAACCCCCAGTCAAACTCTTCTTACTCCCCACAGTGAATGTGTAAATTAAATTCCACTTTAGGACCACACTTAAACCTGTGCTGTACATTGTTGCTTATTAGCTTGTGGGTGTTAAATTTTGCAACCTGTTACTCGCTGATCATGTCAACCAGCGACAAAGATCAGTACTGTAGCTGCACTAATGTTTCGCCACAACCTTTAGTCAAAATATAAGTGGCTAACTTGTGAAGCACAGGCTCAACCACTACAATATCTGTTGTATCCCAGCCGATCAGAAGAGTTCTGCTACTGGATGAAATGTCTCATTGCACTGTATATAGTAGATATAGTATGGTTAACATGTTACTTTCACTCAGAAGTTCTTAATACTAATTCACCCAGTATAAGAGTTTATATTGTAAGGCACAGTAAAAGTTAGTAAAAATATAAAAAATTCGTGATAGTTGCATATTGTGTTTCAGTCTTACTTTGAACCTGACTTGGTAGATAATATGATTCCTGGCTGAGATAGTGCGTGTGACATAGGTCTTCTTGATATGGCTGTACGTGTAACTCTACAATCTCCAAGTCTGTCCCTCAGAACTAGATTTGGTTGGTTTATTTTCTGTCTTGCTAAAGGATATAGTCGGATCAGACGTCTTCAGTTGGTGTTCAGCTCTGATCTTTCCAAGGGTGATACGTTTAGATGACAGAATTGTCAAGCTGCCATCGACTAGTGTACAAACAGTAAATTCCCGAAGTGCTTGCTGCATCATGGAAAAAAAACAGTGTCTAATAGCTAGCCTTTCTTATTGATCTGCCCTCTTTTCCACCAGACCAACATCAAAATATAAACATGCTGATCTTCACTTACCTGATCTGCTTAGATCCCTGGTCACGGCACCAGATTTATATCTGGCTTACTCATCAGTATTATTAAGCAGATAAATCACAACCACAGTAACTGGAGAACGCTAGCTGGCAGTGAATCACTGAAGTAAGGATTGACTTGTGTTGGAGATGAATTTACAGATGTAAAAACGAAATAAAACATGGTTAAGTTGTGCAATACGAGGAGGAGAACAAAAGCTGTACACACCAACACAGTTGAACTTGAAATAATACTTTTATTCGACTATCTATTCTGTACCGGTTAACTCAGCAATAGATGAACAGGGCTTTACTATACAAAGATGAATTGCGTGACAACCAGAACTGTTTCAGATACAACGATCCAAACATGCACACGATCATTCAGAGAACAGAGAAATGATGCTTCTCTAACTTTAGCCAATCAAACACAAGACTGCAAAGACTTTGTATTCTCCAGGAAAAGTTGGGCTAGTAACACGTGAAGATCATCTTTGGTTAATTTCCACTCAAACAATATCATAAAAACACAAACATAATGCAAGGGTGGTGTTTTCTGGAGAAATAATGCAATATCAATGTACAGAATTGCAGTGGTCAAGACGACTAAAGTTTGGAAATATTACATGAATTTTGAGTATTATACAAGGCAAGCAATTCTGATAGCCATGGTCACTGCTTAGTGACACGTTAACGAATCACAGTTTGATGTTGATGTAATACATGATGTAACATTAGAACCTCTTCACACCCTTTCTAAATTCTTCCCACAGCATCAAAAAATATCTCAGCATAAAACCTGCTGCACTCACTACAAATGTGTCTTAAAACTATCAGAAGTGTGTTCTATACTCGTCACACCTGTATCTTAAAACTGTAAGAAGTGTGTTCTACTATACTCGTCACAACTGTACCTTAAAGCTACCAGAAGTGTGTTCTACTATACTTGCCACAATTGTATCGTAATACCACCAGAAGTGTGTTCTACTATACTCGTCACAACTGTACTTAAAGCTACCAGAAGTGTGTTCTACTATACTTGTCACAACTGTATCGTAATACCACCAAAAGTGTGTTCTACTATACTCGTCACAACTGTACCTTAAAGCTACCAGAAGTGTGTTCTACTATACTCGTCACAACTGTACCTTAAAGCTACCAGAAGTGTGTTCTACTATACTTGTCACAACTGTATCGTAATACCACCAAAAGTGTGTTCTACTATACTTGTCACAACTGTATCTTAAAACTGTAAGAAGTGTGTTCTACTATACTCATCACAACTGCACCTTAAAACTGTAAGAAGTGTGTTCTACTATACTCTTCACAACTGTACTTTAAACCTACCAGAAGTGTGTTCTACTATACTCGTCACAACTGTACCTTAAAACTACCAGAAGTGTGTTCCTAAAAAGAAGTGAACAGACAGTGATATATGTATATATATACCTCAAAAGCCACAGACATCGAAAGCCTTTCCACATCTGCAAATATTACAATACATCTGGAAATAAACATTTGTAAAGAGCAAATAGTCTCAGCTGTTCTATAAAAAGTAGGTAATATCGCTGAATTTGCAATATTTATTTGAAAATGATTAAAGACATTTATTAAGCTTTATCTGGACATTTTGCAGGAAGACACATCGAAACACGATGCCTTACTCAGCGTGGCACAACATCTTCGTAAAATTGGAAGTTTTTGTATAAACTGAATCTTATGCGCACGTGAGCTAAACAGCCAGGCAAAATAAACCTAGGATTTAACTGTAGACGTCCCCATTTTTAAACTACTGACCAAAGAGAAGGATGCCAGCTATTACACAAGCCCCCCTCCCCCAACCCCTTAAGGGCTTTGTGCGGCTCTTCGAACTAAATAACATGATTGACTTTCACTTTTATAATGCTTCCACAGGCGAAAGTGCATAGCATGTTCAGCGGTATTACGTCTCGAACCTTGGTTTATTCAATACGCAGCCTGAAATGCAACCACTAGGTCACGTCCGGATACAACAATTGTATAAAACCTGTCATGTGTTTATAACATTGTTACATAAATTTTCTATAAGAACTTTTTTGTGTTGATTCACGTTTTCCTTTATTAAATAAACTCCAAACTAACATGGCGGCATCTGTTGTTATAACTAAGCAACTATGCAGACTTATTAAGGTTGGTTATGAAAAATTGATTTTCTAAGATTAATGCGTGTTCAGTATAAACCAAATTTCAAGCGGCATTCTAGCATCTTATCATATAGTACTGGTCTGGTACCATATCATATAGTACTGGTCTGGTACCATATCATATAGTACTAGTCTGGTATTTTATCATATGATAGTAGTCTGGTACCTTATAGTGCTATTCTGATACCATATCATATAGTGCTAGTCTGATACCATATCATATAGTGCTAGTCTGATACCATATCATATAGTACTGGTCTGATACCTTATCATACAGTACTAGTCTGATACCTTATCATATTGTGCTAGTCTGGTGCCTTATCATATAGTGCTAGTCTGGTACATTATCATATAGTACTAATCTGGTACCTTATAGTGCTACTCTGATACCATATCATATAGTACTAGTCTGGTACCTTATCATATAGTGCTAGTCTGGTACCTTATCATATAGTACCAGTCTAGTACCTTATCATATAGTACCAGTCTGTAATATTATCATAAAGCACTAGTCTGATACCTTATCATATTGTGCTAGTCTGGTGCCTTATCATATAATACTAGTCTGGTACATTATCATATAGTGCTAGTTTGGTACCTTATTGTATAATACTAGTCTGGTACCTTATCATATAGTACTAGTCTGGTACCTTATCATATAGTACTAGTCTGGTACCTTATCGTATAGTGCTAGTCTGGTACATTATCATATAGTACTAGTCTGGCACATTATCATATAGTACTAGTCTGGTACCTTATCGTATAGTACTAGTCTGATACCTTATCGTATAGTACTAGTCTGGTACCTTATCGTATAGTGCTGGTCTGGTACCTTATCGTATAGTGCTAGTCTGGTACCTTATCGTATAGTACTAGTCTGGTACCTTATCGTATAGTACTAGTCTGATACCTTATCGTATAGTACTAGTCTGGTACCTTATCGTATAGTGCTGGTCTGGTACCTTATCGTATAGTGCTAGTCTGGTACCTTATCGTATAGTACTAGTCTGGTATCTTATCATATAATACTAGTCTGGTACCTTATCATATTGGTCCAGTCTGGTACCTTATCATATAATACTAGTCTGGCACATTATCATATAGTACTAGTCTGGTACCTTACCATATAGTACTAGTCTGGTACCTTATCGTATAGTGCTGGTCTGGTACCTTATTGTATAGTGCTAGTCTGGTACCTTATCGTATAGTACTAGTCTGGTATCTTATCATATAATACTAGTCTGGTACCTTATCGTATAGTACTAGTCTGGTACCTTATCATATAGTACCAGTCTAGTACCTTATCATATAGTACCAGTCTGTAATATTATCATAAAGCACTAGTCTGATACCTTATCATATTGTGCTAGTCTGGTGCCTTATCATATAATACTAGTCTGGTACATTATCATATAGTACTAGTTTGGTACCTTATCGTATAATACTAGTCTGGTACCTTATCATATAGTACTAGTCTGGTACCTTATCGTATAGTGCTAGTCTGGTACCTTACCGTATAGTGCTAGTCTGGTACCTTATCGTATAGTGCTAGTCTGGTACCTTATCATATAGTACTAGTCTGGTATCTTATCATATAATACTAGTCTGGTACCTCATCATATAGTACTAGTCTGGTACCTTATCGTATAGTGCTAGTCTGGTACATTATCATATAGGACTAGTCCGGTACCTTATCATATTGGTCCAGTCTGGTACCTTATCATATAGTACTAGTCATATAGTGGCAGTATGGAACCTCATCACATTAAGTATAAGTTTCGGATTTTTCTGCCCATTACTTTTAAACATCGTTCCCTGAATGCGTGAATATTGTTACGTCTCCGTTCGTTCGTTAATTAATTTTCCGTAAATTCGTTCCAACGAAACTTTAGCGACACAAATCCTTTCTTAAATAAACTGGTTTATTCTTTCCGAATACAACTTTACCGATACACTTAATTTCAACGGTCGCTCTATAATCAAACGCTATAACTCACGTCTCACGTGGCCAACAATATTTTGTCCGCATACATTCAATTACTCATTATTCCGTCACGTTGTGACCGTCTTATATATACCAGACTACCCCCAATCTAGTAGTCTCCCGATAATTCACGAAGGTTCGAGAAGGACGTGGCGTGATACTAGTCGCGTGACCTCGCTGACGCAACAATATGTTACTTCATCCACATCCTATTCGCCCTCATAACAGTCAAAGCCTTCAAGTTTCGAGGTAAAATTCAAAAGAAGTAAACAATTCTTGTATCATTGGGTATTGATTAGAAACGGAAACTATGAATGCTGCACAAATAATGAGGCTTTCAATCAATAACACAGGCTATGGCAACAAGAGGTTTGGTAAATGACCCAAACATATTCTGTTATATTTGTGGTAAATTTGCTGTAAAGAAACAAAGGCAAAACATTACAGAACTCGTCAAAAAAGCGTTGACACAAAGAAACTCCTATTACTTTCACTTCACATATCTGGGCTTGAGGAAGCAGTTTGTAAAGGCCTTAAAAAACGCGACTGTTTCAAGTATGTATGTGGGCAATTCCCAGCTCTTTCATAAGCGAAACTTAAAGAAGGGGTTTTTGTTAGGCCTCAGATGAGGAAATTGACTTCGGATAAACAGTTCGAAAGAACAATGAGGAAAGTTGAAAACGAAGCGTATATTGTCTTTAAAGACGTTATTGACAAATTTTTAGGAAACAACAACGACGCAATTACGAAAATATTGTCAATATCATGCTCGATAAATTCAAAGAGTTGGGTTGTAATATGAGCTTGAAAGTTCATTTCTTACACTCACATTTTGACTATTTACCTGAAAATCTCGGTGACGTCAGCGAAGAACAAGGGGAGGGTTTCATCAAGACATCAGGGAAATGGAGAGAAGGTATCAAGGAAGGTGGAACATCAGCATGACGGCTGATTACTGCTGGTCATTGAAACCAGATGCAATACTTAAAAGAAAGACCACAACACGGAGTTTTGAGACTAAGAGACGTAGATTTGACAAAAAATCAGGATGCATATTTATTTGACTTCAATGTTCTTCCCTTTTCTTCAATTTGTTTGTATTTTTGTTAACAAACATAATAATAAAAATGTTCATTATGGTAAATGAAATAATAATTTGATCTGAGTAAGAGTTTTTCTTCTTCCCGATTTATAAAAAAACTTTATGTGATGGATAAAAAATGAATATTATTTTCGAAATATGCGTAGCTGAATTATGGAAAATTCGTTATTAAAACCAAAACAACTTTTATGAAGTTTAAATTCGCAGGCTTGTGTAATTTCTCTAATTTCTGTATTGCTTTATTTCTCCTCAGGGTAGCGTTCGGGATGAGAGTATTCATCTGTAACCTCGTTTTGGATGTAAGTATTCAACTGCAGCCTCGTTTTGGGTGTGAGTGTTCAACTGTAGCCGCTGGGTGTTAGTTCGTTTAACGAAGTCGTACTTCCCCACCAGGGCTTCTTGTTTTTGTTTCCATTAGGGTTCTTAAGTTGCTTTCCATTGTAACCATTACAGTAGAATTATTTTACAGTTTTATTTAAGGATGAAGGCTATATTTTTGTCGTTTATCCAGAAATATTATCCATAAACAAATTTTCCCTATAATGTGGTATGCATTTTTCTTGGATTTTACCTACAGAATTATATATATATAATGAATTATTCACCTAAATAGACATATGAACATATATATATATATATATAAGCTGTACAATGCAGCATGTGTAATCGGTTGACTGAATTATTCGAGTTGCATGTTTATCCAGAATAAAAACTGTTTTAGAGCAGCGTTTCCTTTCAATAAATATTCTTTCTTGCACTCCTCCCTTGTTTTTTTTTAGATGGGTGAAAGAGTGAGATAAGTGATGAGATGTAACACAGGGATACACATTAAAATACTATATGTGTTGTAGTAATTCTTATTACTTTCATTAATAAAAATATATTAAAACGTTTAATTTTAAATTGTTAGACTATTAACTTTGTCTAATTGCTCGCTCCTCCCCTAAGAGATCAATTGCGCCCCCTGGGAAAGTGCGCCCCACACCTTGGGAAACGCTGTTTTAGAGAACAACAGTTTTGTTGATAAATTATTGTCTCATTTTAGTTAAGCATTTTTATAAGATTTATGGTAGTTTTAAAATTGAATAAACGCGGGAAAAATAATTCAAACAAATATATAACTTAAGAGACAAAAGTAGATGATTTGAATTATGGAATGCTTCAAGTTTAACATTTGTATTATGTATAGTAATAATACTAAAACTTCTTTCATAGTTTTCATTGGTTAATGGATCCCGTTGCCACTGAAGTCATAAATATGATCTGAATCTGAAACAAAATGTTTTTTAGGTTTGTTATTAAGCATAAACTACATAATGGTTTATCTGTGCTGTGCCCACCACGAGTATCGAAACCCGGTTTATAACGTTTTAACCTTGTAGACTTACCAGTGGGGAAGGGACAGCTTTTAGGAGTGGGTGGAGCAGCTAAAGTCATAAGGTGATCTGTTTTGTTTGCGATTTGTTTGTTGTTAAGCCTAAAGCTACACAAAGGGATATTTGTGCTTTGCCCACCACGGCTATCGAAACCCGGTTTATAACGTTTTAACCTTGTAGACTTACCAGTGGGTGGAGCAGCTAAAGTCATAAGGTGATCTGTTTTGTTTGCGATTTGTTTGTTGTTAAGCCTAAAGCTACACAAAGGGATATTTGTGCTTTGCCCACCACGAGTATCGAAACCCGGTTTATAACTTTGTTAGTCCGCAGACATACTGGGGTGCTAGGTGATCTGATGGGCAAAGATTAAGCATCCATGTTACAAAATCATCACATAGTGTGGGCTGAGATCTCACTTTAGCTTGGAGTTTTTATTCTTATGTATTTTATTAATAGAAAAAGCCTCCCATTGGCACAGCGGTATGTCTGCGGACTTACAACGCTAGAAATCGGGTTTCCATACCCGTATTGGGCAGAGCACAGATAGTCCAATGTGTGGTTTCGTGCTTAATTACAAATAAACAAAGTATTTTTTTATATCACATGGTTAACCTCTTTATTCTGTCTTGACTGTTTAAGTCCACGAAAAACGATTTGATCAGATCTGGTTTTATACTCTGCCAACTGTTAGAACCATATGATTTTGTATAATTTAATTTTTTCCGTGCTTCTGTGAAAAGTATAACTTATTTTTACTGATATCTGACGTAGTCTTTAATCAGTCTAATGGATTTCAAATAAGATTTTTTGTTGTTGTTGCTGTTAACGAGATGTACAGGTATAACTGTTTACTGTGGATATGTACACTGTGCTATGCAATAATTCTAAAGACATTGGTTTTGTTGTTTTTTAATCTTTGTGATGATTGTGTTGAAAAATCGAGGATTTTTCTTTGTCTGTGTAATTGTCGATACTTCAGTTCATTAAGGTTGATTGTTGTTAAAACAAAGCTATACAAAGGGATATCTATGTTTTGCCTACCGCGGATATCGAACCCGATTTATAGCGCTATAAGCCCACGGGGTTACTGCTGAGCCACCTGGTGAGGAGGCATCACGAGCTTGTAGGGACTGTGAAAAGTACACACTTCCTACTTATAATGTTTACTCATAACACGACGTTTCCGGTGGATTCCAAACAAAAGTTGTTATCGAGATGCCATCCGGAGGCTCAGCGGCAAGTCTGGAGGCTTATAACGCTAACAATTGGGTTTCGATACTCGTGGTGGGGAGAGTACAAATAACCCACTGTGTAGTTTTGCATTTAACAACAAGCAAACAGAAGTTACTGAGATTCATAGGTGTCGCTATATAAAGGGAATGGTTACACTGTACTAGAAGATGCCTCAAAATGTTGGTTTTGTTATTTTTGTCTCTAACCAGGAAAGTCTTAATTTAAAAAAAAAAAGAAGGAGGCGGAATAAAAGTTTCACACAACACAATAAAATTGTTTATTGCTGACTTAACGTCGTCGTATGTTTTCTTAAAAGACCCTATTTATACTCTACTTTATTAATTTATAGAACAATGTACAGAAATACGATTCTTGTAATGTTTTGTTCAATAAAGATTGAGTAATTTATTTGCGGATGGTGTCTGTCTTAAATCATCAAAACGTTTGTGTGCATAATTATTATATATACACCTGGAAAAAAGTTAAGCACCCCCAAATATTTTTCAGGATTGCTTATTGAAAATAAGGTCTAATTTTCATGATGTTGAGCAATGTTCATAATTTCAAACATAATT